GGGAGTTGAAGTCCACTCATCTTAAAGTGGCCAAGTTTGGACAACACTGGTCTAAAGGAATTCTGTGGTAGCCCTCTGTCCAGACCGAATCTTTTTCAAGTTGCTTCCAAACTGTCTTAATTTGGATGTGTGTTCAACGGGCAGACATTTATAAACAAATAAATACATGTTCTTCTTAAACTGCCATAGATTTCAGCCCCACCCCTGAGCAAAGGGCAGAAGTAGCTTAAATGACAAGCCCAAAAATGGCCTCACTTAAATGTGGCTGAAGATGTGGAGAACCCTGGTCATGCGCCACAAAAAAGCATAAAAGCAGCATGAAGAAGTTAAAATCAGGGTGTTGAGGAATTGCATAGTGTTCGCCTGGAAGGTGTGCAAAAGTACAGATGCAATGCAGGTCTCCTTAGAAACTTCTGTCTTCATAAAAGCAGGTTACAAAGAGTTCAGTTCTGCTATCCCTTCAAACTATTTATTGAGGAAAGTGGAAAGAGTTAACTCACACAATGTATTCATCTAATCAGTACTCACTGAGTCAAAGCTGTACTAAATTATCTACATCTAAATAGTTATCTGGCACGTTCAGGCCTAATTTCACAAATTATACAATCCTTGCCTTCTCAAATTACCTCTAACAACACAACAGAACTTGCTCTGGAGTGATCAAAATGTTGATGGTGAGAAGAAGTGAGAGAGGAGTAACAAGGGATATGTCGAACAAAGCGAAGAGTTTTCTGCAGTTGAGAATATTCTGACCCATAGCATAAACAATTGTTCATCTAGTTATTAAATTACATGCATTTTTGGTTGTTTCTGGATTACGTTGATTCCATGTCTTAGATATGGCTCCACTATATTGTATAAAGCCTTTCTTCCTGCCCATAATTTATTAATTACTCTATATCCTTTTTCATTGTACTAGAGCTACCTTTCCCAAAGTAGAACCCTTCAGAAAGGCTGAAAGTATAACTCTTAGCAGCATGGGAAATCTGACAGTTGTCGTTCCGGGACATCAATTGGCAAAAACATAGCAGATAAAGTGAATATATGAAAGCCATATCCTTACAACTTCTCTGGCGCAGGTCTCAACTTTCAAATTGTCCTATCTATCAGGCTTGAACAACAAGTAAGCTTTCTGGACAAATTCTTATATAAGATACACTGGATACTTTTAGTTTTATGAGACTGAATGCAAGTGAATAGGTGCAAGGAAGGCCCTCTGTATAGACAAAAGAAGAAGAAAAAAGCTGCTTCTGGTGATGTATCCCATTTTTA